TTACTAGTTCAGTTTATATCAAAAAGTTCACCATGTATTTGGTTTTTGTAAATTGTGACATGGAATTTTCAATGGTCGCAAATATGCTTCAAAAATAAAATATTCAAAACGATTAATTTCGAGCAGAAACGAAAGTTTGACAAAACATGTATTCATTTGAAAAAAGATACTTGGCAATTCAAAAATTTCACGAATATAAGCAATACTTACATTTACAACGTCTTAGCTCAATGGGAATCAACAATGTTCTTTCATTTCAAGACCTGGATTTCGTCATTTTATTTTTTTGTGGAGGGTAATAATCGCCCTTTGGATTTTTTTCGAATCACTATCATATCTATATGGATGTAAATGGCCATTGATCTAAATATTTCTAGATAATCGAACAGAAAATGGAGGCTCCTTCACAAGAGAGGATGAGTCTGTACGGCAATTAAGATACCAAAATAACTGAATGGAACAAATCTAATAAAAAAAACTGAGAATTTATAATCATAAAACATTCCCTAAATGGAATCCCGTTGCATCCATACACTTTTCTTGTCAAATCAAATCAAATCAAATCAACTTTATTACTAGATTAAAGTGTAAATGGTGTACAACTAAGACATATTCACATTTTGTCCAGCTTGTCACAAAAAAAGGAAAGTGTAGAAATATTACACATACCTAGGAAAATGTTGTTTACACAAAGATTAACACTCTTAATAATTATTAATTAATGAATACAACACAAAAAAAGTTATTTACTTATCACAAGTGAAAATTACACAGCCAAAAATTTTACTGAATTATGTTACATCAACGTTTAGAAAAAATTCTTCAATACTGTAGAATGCCTCAGCTATTGAGAATTTTTTCAATCTATTCTTGAACTGATTCATTGTACTACAAAGTTTTATCGATTCATCCAATTTGTTGTATAATTTGATGCCTATATAATTTGGATCATTTTGGCCGATTTGGAGTCTTTTAAATGGCAAGTGTAACTTACCTCTTTCTCTTGTATCATAATCATGTACACAATTGTTCGTTTTGAAAGAGGTTGAGTTCTTTCTGATGAACACCAAAACCTCGTAGATATATAAACATGGCATTGTCAGAATGCCCAAACTGATGAAGTGTTTTTTACAGTGTGAGTTGTATGGTAGACCCAGCATCAATCTGATGGCTTTTTTTTGTAAAATAAAAATCTCTTTAGAACGTGCGCTATGGCCCCAGTAAATTATTCCATAACGAATAACTGATTCAATTACACTGTTATATAGTAGTAATAAAATGTTGTAAGAAACTGTGTCTTTTAATTGCCTCAAAAGAAACAATTGCTTATGCAACTTAGATCCTAGATTTTCAATGTGGGATTTCCACGTCAACTTGTGATCAATTGTTATACCAAGAAAGACTGTTGTTTCAACTTGCTTAAGCGATTTCCCTAACTTCAGTAAAATGCTACTCTCATTTTTGTAGTTTTTTGGCACGAAATTCATGAAATGTGTTTTTTCATTGTTTAGAATTAAGCCATTTTTTAAACTCCAATCGGCTATTTGCGTGACTGAAGTCTGTCCCAGTTGTCTCAGCATGTTAGTGTCTTTTGTTCTCACTATAATATTTGTATCATCTGCATATATAACAGTGCTTGTCGATAAATCTGAACAGAAAGTAGGAAGATCGTTAATGAATATTAGGAATAGCAAAGGCCCCAGAATGGATCCCTGTGGAACTCCTCTATTGACAGTTTTACTTTCAGATGCTATGTTATTTATATGCACACTTTGAGTTCTATTCTCTAGATAGGAAGATATCCACTCATATGCACTCCCTCTGACTCCATAGTAATACATTTTTGTGAGTAACAGTTTGTGATCTACCATATCAAAGGCTTTGCTCATATCAAAGAATAAGCCCATTGTATTTTCTTTGTTTTCAAGTGCCTCTGTTATGCTTTGTATAAGTTGTTCGATTGCTGTCATTGTAGAACGATCTTTACGATAACCATGTTGTGAATTAGTTAGAATTTAAAAAAATTCAAAGTATTTATATAGCCTGCTGCAAAAACAATATTCAATAATTTTTGAAAACTGAGATTGGAGAGAGATGGGTCTATATGAGTTCATTTCATTCTGGGGTCCTTTATTCTTGTAGATAGGAATGACTTTAGAACACTTCAAGTTACATGGAAATTTGCCCTCCTCAAAAGAGCGGTTTATGATTTTTCATAATGGTAATGGTTTTCATCTGGTCCATATGTGAATTTCTTACAAGCAATCTTGATTGCTTCTTCGACTTCTTCAGGAACTGTTGGACTTAGAAATATGGAGTTGAGTTTGTTTCTAATATGCTTCAAAGTTGGTTCTGGTTTTATATTATTGTCAGCAATATTTGCAAAATAGTGATTGAATATCTCAGCTAATTCACATGGATCAGATATGTGAAGACCATTTGTATCCACAATTTCTGTAATTTGATTTCGTGCTGATATTCTGGATTCATTAATGATCCTCCAACCTTCCTTCATTTTATTTTTTGCATTGAATATTCTTTCATTATTATATGTTAGTTTTGCTTTGTTCAAATTATGATTATACAGGTTTTTCATCTGAATATATCTTTGATGATAGCATTCATTTTGAATCTGTTTGTCTATTGTATGCATCTCATTAACCAATTTTTGTAGCTGGACAACTTCATTTGTCATCCACTCTGGTTTATTTCTTTTTCTATTCTTTGTTTTTGTTTTTGGAAATGATTCGAAAAAAAAATCCAAAAAATTATTGTAAAATGAATTGAACATATCATCTAAATTTTCTATCTGATCAAGTTGTGACCAATCTTGTTGTAATAGCCTTGTTTAAAATTAAATTGTCAGACTGTCAAATGCCTGATTCACTTCCTGATGGTTATGGGATCATTTCTAATAATGTTGCCACCATTGATAATTCTGTCAATGAGTTCTTGCCATGTGTTGATATTTTCGACCTAGACCATTTCTTTCAATCGACCCCAAATGAAATAGTCAATGGTATTGAAGTCAGGAGACCTCGGTGGAGAATTGGACTTCCGCGTTCTATCCACCTGTTTCCATAGTAGCATGCATGTGTTGGCGTACAGCCACCAAAAAATGAGGTGATGCACCGGAGATTGGACAAAATATTTTGGACGATGGAGTTTTTTCATTTTCCATTGTTACTCGAAATTAGGGCTTTCCATCTTTATCATTATTGTATGTATCTTTTCGGTTGAGTAACCGACAAACATTATCCTATGTATGATTGCCTTCCGACATTTCCGTATACAAGGAAAGACAATGCCAGAGGACGAACGGGGAAATATGGAGACTGTATAGTACCATCCTGTCAGCGATGGCAGAGCGTTGGGCATGTAACCCAGAGGTTGTGAGTTCGATTCTCACACGGGGCGGTGGTTTTTTTATTTGCCATTGTTACTCGAAATTAGAGCTTTCCATCTTTATCATTATTGTATGTATCTTTTCGGTCGAGTAACCGACAAACATTATGACTTGACTCCTATGTAAGATTCTCATTAGGCCACATTCAATATACAGTGTCCCGAAATTACATAAAAATATTTCAATGCTAATTCTAGAAACGAAAATAGTTGAAGTAAAGTATATCAACATGGGTCCAGAAATGATATCTCAGGGGATTATAGCTATCTGGAGGCGAGCCCAAGATTAAGATTTTTTTTAAATATTTTCGAAACTTTATGAAAATGAAAAGAATAAGCTCAAAGTAATTTTCACAAATGTTCAAAAAATGAATAACGGTAGATGATGACGGGAGAAAGAAACTACTTTCTTTGCAATGACACGCAGAAAATGCAAATACATCCTCCCAAAATCTATGCATCGATTCGAATTCAGACGAATACTGACGTGAGTGTGTTTTTGATCCAACTCTTTATGCCTAGTTTAAAATGTTCAGAATATTCCGAAATGTTGATCAGAGGCGTGGGAAATAGGAAGTTTGTCCAGGAAATATGAATCTTGTTTAGTTTTGATAGCATTCACAGTTTTCTACATGAATCAATTTTTAAATTCTGCTGCGTAACTCCCTCGGTAACTCCTATGTCAAAACTGCATGTGAAGTATACAAATAGTGCTTTCTCCACAATAGGGTACAGTCGTATTCAATTTAAAAGCGTACAAGTATCAAAATGAGAGGATTTCGGGATCCTAGTTGTAGTTGTGTAAAACTGGCTCAGCCAATGCTTTGTGTTTTCGAGAACCTATGACAACTCCACTGTCAACATCTGGTGAACAATAATTCCCGTTTTATGCAAAATAGGATGACGAAAATTTCTCTCTGTAATATACTTGTACGCTTTTTTTTAATGCGACTGTACCTACCCACCATAATTATTCTTCAATTCATTCTCTTCATTGCACCTCCAATAGTAGATACTGGTTGAAAGAAAGGGTATTGTCCAACAAACAAAACAATACTTTTTTTAATTCGCAGTTTTTCGAAAATAATAACTTTGAAATGAATAGATTCTACTGTTCATTAAGAAAGTTGATCTCAATATGAAATGAAAGAAATTACCATTAGGTACAAAAGTGATTTCTATGTCGTTTTCTGGAAAAAAACCTTTCTTTCAACATCTACCTGCGATATTTCGATTTGAAATATCGGGGGTGTAATAAAAAAAGATTTAAAAATTGATTTATCTCTAAAAAATTCATTGATGAATAGTTATCTCTTCATCATTAGCTAGAACCAATTGAAACTGATGAAAATATGTTCAATGGCAATATTCGATTAACCGAAAAACAATCATATACTTCCTGCACTAACTGAAATATATCAATCAACTCACCAATAAACAAAACAAGTCAACTCAATCAATAAATTGATAACAGTCGTACATTCATCAATATTCAAACCGCCTAGCTGGATCCAAGCAGATGCACATCTTGAAGCATTCAGATAGGTCGTCAAATTAGACATATCAAACCTGAAATGTTCAGACCTGTTATCAAATTATTCTGTAGGACTAATAAACAAGTAGTACCCTGCTTCCGGTAAGGGCAACAAACACATCTCCACTACCTTCAAAATATCCTTGGAGACTTGTTGAAGAACCAGTCGCACTCTGTTTCTCTGGCTCAAAGCTAAAGTAGTGCTTTGAAACTGAAACGAAAAAAACTATGAGTAGATACATTGTCAAAGGTAAACATTTCTAGACTAGATTGAGAACGCAAAAATTGATATGACGAAAAAAATTACGAAAACGTGTATACAAATAATGATTTCCGAACATTATAGGGAGTCCCTTTCATGCGTCCCAAAAGATAAAAAACCGCTCTTTCATCGTATATTCAAGTTTAAATGAATGGGTAATATTTTGGAAGTTAATTCTCTTTCATGAACCAGTTAATTCTCTTTCATGAATTCGGTGCAGTTTTTGTTAAAAGTACATGGTGAAAGAATTGGCAACAATGGCAACAAAGCTCTATACTAGGCTCTAAGTCTTATGTAAATGAGTGAATATCTAGAGAACGATCGAGGTAGGCCAGTATAGTTTCACTGCTTTGAGTGCTTTATCAATAAGATGGTATGACTAGCAGTTATTTTTCAAGAGAGAAGTTAATTGAAATTGTCAATCCAAGGATGAGGTTAGGTGTTGCACTAATCAAGGGGCGTGTCGCACGTTACCCTGGTAGGGACTAGTAGTCGTCATTCTCTTTTTTTTTGTTACACTTGGTTTTACTAACAATTGGTTTTATTTTTGTTTCACTTGATTCTCATCACTTGACTTTTAATGTCATTTGTTTTTTTATTCAATTAGATTTACACTTGTCTCTTTTTACACTTACACACGTTTTGATTTGATTCACTTTGTGCACGTGCAACTTTTATTTCTTTGCTGCAACTTCCTCTATGGCCAGATCTCCTCTCGCATGCCATTACAACCCCCAATAATCTAAACCCCACAGATTTGCATATACCACAAGGAAACGTAGCTGGAGGTGTAGCTCATCACAGAGGAGTCAGCCGCCTCTTTGAAGAATAAAACAAATTCCAATACCTACCTCCTATCCCTATCCTCCATAGGGACGCACGATGTTCTTTGAACGTTATAGGGATTCCCTTTCGTGCGCTCCAAGCGATAAAAAAAAACACAAACCATATATTGAAAGCAAAACATAGTTTCAATGATAATTTCAACATTCTTATATTCTACATGTAGGGAATAAATGAATAAAACTCAATTTACGAATCAACAAACACAAAATTTTCAACATTTTATAAAATGATTAAATAAACCTCAATAATTTACCGCAGTTGAATTTGTTTTCTTAATAGGTAATATTACACTAAACATAAAAAAGTTGATGATGGTTTATGGAAGACGAAACGTCGAATTTCGAATTTGAAAATACCAACTTGTAGGAAAGAAAAAGTGGCCATGATGAAGTAATATTCATTTCAAGTGTTTAATTTGTTCGACGAACTTAACACAAAAAATAGAAGGGGTTTTGGGGAATTTTGGTTTTTTTCGTATATCTCCGAAGGTATTCCGAATTTCAGTCATTGAATAAATTAATTATTGATTATTGATTTTTTCCCATGAGAAGGTCATTTCGAAAATATACAGGGTGTTCCGTTGGGAAACGGAAATACTTTGATGGTGGATAGAGGTGACCAAAGTTGTACTGAATATACCATATATGTGGGGTCTTACATGTTTAATTATCGAGATATTGGGTGTTTTATCAATTCTGGTCATTTCTTTGAAGGCTCATAGCATACGAACCACCTGGTATATCATTTCAATATTCGGTAGGCGTGTTTTCCCACTGCTACCCTAGCGACTTGTATATCCGTCAGAAAAAAATGCCAGGCCCGGATTAACAAAAATTCAACATATTATTGGGTCCCCGAAATAACACCCTGTATGTTCGAATTTACAAAATCTGCTTACATATCTGAAGAGAGAACAAAATGTTGAATGGATTTGTGTACTTTTCATGTTTCCGCATGCTATTTTACCACTGAATTTCTGAAGCTGCAATGAAGGATTTGTGAATTTCAATAGCTAAAAACGGAATATTTTCATTTTTTTCACATCGAATTATGAAAATTTTGCAATTTTACAGCTCATTTTATTCCATTTAATAGTCGTTGTCTGCATTTTTATGCCTGTGGAAAGGGCCAGTGTATATTCACAGGTTCTTACTTTATTCATGTACCTATTTATTTGTTTGAGACATATTTCCATGCACCCTGTATGTGGATTCACATATTTCAATATTTTTATTGTTTTGATGTAATTTCACTCACCTATTGAAAAATGATGGATCTTATTATCTTGGTATAGGTATTAGGAAAAATACAATATGGCGTAATTAATTTATACCCCGAATAAAAATGTTCGGCAGCGAATTTTGTTTGGATCAGTTTGATTTAGGAATTCGAAATTTTTCAACTGATGGTTGGATTTCGAGTTTGTTGACATTATTTTCACGAATTTGTTAGTGGAATTATTATATCAAAATAATAGAAATCTTGAAATATGTGAATCCACATACAGGGTGCATGGAAATATGTCTCAAACAAATAAATAGGTACATGAATAAAGTAGGACCTATGAATATACACTGGCATAAAAATGCAGAAAACGACTATCAAATGGAATAAAATGAGTTATAAAATTGCAAAATTTTTATAATTCGGTATGAAGAACTGAAAATATCCTTCATTGCAGCTTCAGAAATTCAGTAGTAAAATAGCATGCGGAAACATAAAAAGTACACAAATCCATTCAACATTTTGTGCTCTCTTCAGATATGTGAGCGGATTTTGTAAATTCCAACATACAGGGTGTTTTTTCGAGGACTCAATAATATGTTAAATTCTTGTTAATCCGGGCCTAGAATTTTTTTCTGACGGATATACAAGTCGCGGGGGTAGCAGTACCAAATATCAGAAAGTTATACCAGGTGGTTCGTATGCCATGAGCCTTCAAAGAAATGACTAGAATTGATAAAACACCCTATATCTCGATAATGAAGTATGTATGACCCAACATATATATATGGTTCACTAGGTATGTCACGACGAGATTACACTATCTCTATATCGAGAATCAGTCGGAAGAAATCCTAAAAAAAATGCATGCTTATATTTCAAAATACGCTCTCTTTATTTAAAATATTTTCAGCAATGCAGTGTTGCCGCTCCTATCAAAAAGTAGCAACAACTTTGTTATTTCGAATAGAATACCCTGTATTTTATTGCATTTTTAGATTCTTCCTGAAGAGCTGATTTCATCGATACATCACACTTGGGGTCTTTAGGGAATGATTACAGATATATAAGGTGTTCAAAATCGAGATTTTTCACCTTTAGGATTTGTTTGTGTCGAAACTATTCATTCATGGCCAAAACGGCTTACATGTCCCTATCTCAACTTTTGATTTACTATTTACTGACATTCAATTGGAACAGATGCCGGGTGCTCAGAATTCTGAATCTTGAAACACCCTGTATCTGTTCCGATTGAATATCAGTGGATAGTGAATCAAAAGTTGAGATAGGGACATGTGAGCCGTTTTGATCGATAATGAATAGTTTCCACACAAAAAAATCCCAAAGTTGAAAAATCTCGATTTTACACACCCTATATCTCTGTAATCATTTTCGATTGTCCCCAAGTGTGATACATTGATGAAATCAGCTCTTTAGGGAGAATCTAAAAATGCGATGAAATACAGGGTGTTCTATTTGAAATATCCATGTTGCTACTACTTTCTAGTAGAAGCGGCAACACTGCATTGTCGAAAGTATTTTACATGAAGAGAGCGTATTCTGAAATATAAGCATGCACATTTTCATGGACTTCTTCCGACTGATTCTCGATATGAAGATAGTGTAAGCTCGTCGTGACATACCCTGTATTAAGAATCACCTTGGTCACCTCTATCCACCGTAAAAGTATTTCCGTTTCCCAACACCCTGTATAACAATTACGGCTTAATACAGCAGGGTTGGCTGATTAATATGAATTTAGTCAGCGATATAATTCGTGAATTAATTTAAATACCATTTTTTTAAGTCATGAACTTTCTCCAATACGAACAAATGGCATTATTACCTTCAATTCTAAGGCATTATAGCAACCTGCCCACAGGCGAACAACTAACTTTTCTAATGAAGATTCCTAATAAGTAGGCAATAAGTGATGAGTTGCATACGTATTTTCATTATTTTGTATTCGTTTCATAGTTTCAGTTTGTATTGCAAAAAGATGATGCGAACACCAACAATAACCTCAACGTAACCAATAATATCACAATACTAAATATAAATTATCAGAATTTCGAAATTTTGCAATGCCTACTCAACGCAGCTAATGAATCGATAATGAACAATGCCTATCAAAACAGATCTACGATGGGCGCTCGAAAATAATAAATAATTAATACACATGCTATTCTATCAACGAAAAAATTATGAGTAAAATGAAAATACTCCATAATCGAGGTGACTATTTGAAAAGCTATTTATCAAATATTTTAAATTGGATGCACGCTAGTGAAAAATGGATAATTTCGTTCCGTTCTTCTTGAGAGATCACAACAGATCTACAAAATTTGGCTTCACATAATGTTTTTGAAATAATAGTTATGTATACATCAAGCCAGTAAAGAATGTTATTATTACCCAGGGAACAAGATTATGTCCCGAGGCATCAGCTGAGTGGTATAAGGTCCCGTAGTGATGATATTATATTATACACCAAGGTAGTAAAGAATATCATTATTACCCAGGGACCAATATTATATTCCCAGGCTTCACCCTAGGGGTATAAGGTCCTGTGGTGATAATAATCTTCACTACCAAGGTGTATATAGTTTTTTTTTTCACCACTAGCAATACATTTCAATGATTTTAGTTCTGTGAAACTGAAATATGAATCTATTGTCACTATGAAAGTACATCTTTTCAATTCTAATTGTAATCTAGTAGTCATTGATAAATACCTACTAGAATTGGGTGTCGTTTCTGCGAATGTCGCATAGGAACAGTGAATTCGGGTTAATTATAACAGAGGTGGCTATGTCTTTATTGACTAGTGTTTCATAAAATGACGAAAACTGATAGTAAAAACACATTTTATGCCTGGAAAAAGAGTTAATAATGGTAGGTTTTATAGCTAGTGGTGGAAAAAAAATATGCATATGTTATGCATTAATGTTGCAATCAATATTACACATCAGTTGTGAAAATATATGATCAAATACTAACAAAACTTACTTCTTCAGGTATCACAGTTAAAATTTCTAGAAGAATCCATATCACCCTCTCAGGCTCAACATTAGGCAAATACTGAGGTTGGAAGCTCGATACCAACTCTTCAAATGCTTTTGGCCAATGGGTTGGAATAGTATGGATGACAAAAGCAGAAAGCTGAAAACAAATACTTCAAGTATCGATATGGAAAATTGTGAAGTTCAACATGCTAATCTATCAGGTTATGAAGTTATTATTGCTGGGATGAAATTGAAGCGAAATTGAAGGGAACTGGAAATTAAAATGTGAAAAAGTAAAAATACCGCAACAACTACACAAAATCCAATTTATGGTGTAAACATTATAATTGGTCTTTTAAATTGTTACCAACAATGTGAATAGATTAGTTCGAGCCGCCTTTCCAAAATAAAAGATAAAAATAAGGGCTAGAAAGTATTGGATAACCAAAGGTATGAGAATTTCTTAAAAAAATATGCGTGCACTGCATATCATAAGAAAATGATGCCAAGATAAGTTTTTCATTAATTACTTCAATATAGAAGAAATTAAAGTAATGAGAAATGCCAATGATTTACACTTATTACCTCTCTGGAATTGAGAACTCTTGAAACACAGCAAAGGAGTCCTTGAGTATTGTAAATGAACTGAGGTGAAAATCTACTCATAAAAATTCACAGACGCCCATAAATCCTAATCATCTGAATTCATTTCACTGCAATATTGCCCACTCACAAACGCAATGCCTGAACTCTAATCAAGATCCCATTCATTTTTTTGTGCCAATATAGTTACTCCTTGTTTATTTTATGAGACCACTCCAATCGAGAAGTATTTGCATCAATTGAAAAACAAAATGCCGCAGGAAACAATGAATTGTCAATCAAAATTTCAAAAATTTTCCAGATTCAGCTTTACTCGTGTATTCTATAGGTACTCATAAATCACAGTTACAAGGAAGGTACATCTCCTGATCTCCTGAAGACTAGTGGAACAGATATGTTCAGGCCCATGTCTCTGATACCCACCATGGGAAAAGTAATCTAATAATGGTTTTAGAAGCAATATGAGTGCATCATATGTTATGTTCAACTGTATGGAAAGGGTATATACCAATCTCAATTGAGGTGAGAATGAAGCGGCGGTATTTTGTGACCTGACGAAAGCATCTGATTGCGTAAGTCAGGAAGTACAATGGACGTCACTTGGAAGGTACCTCAAGGCTCATTATTAGGCACCTATATTTTCCTCCTATACGTCAATGATTTGTCTCTTTTGATATTTCCGGTTCCTTTACACTGTTTGCCGATGATATCACAGTTTAAGTATCACCCAAGACAAGGGATTAAACTGTGGTGCGAATCGAATTTTCCATGTTTGAATGTCAATAAAACTAAGCTAACCACCTTCAAATTTATAATAGGCGAGTGGACTAATTCTTTTTATTTCTTAAATAGAATCATCACTGGAATATCTTTCAATCCCATATTCTTCAAGAATTTTTTGTTCGATTTTAAGGTGCTAAAATCTACAATAATGCCACGGTAATTTTCGAACGGCTAGAAATTTGCAGCTAATGAAAATTGACGTCACGATTTCGTAAGTAGGGACAGACCATAGCACAGTTGCCATATGTTAAAATACGATTGGGATCTTCAGAAATATTAGTTATTCAATAATTCATGAATTTTCCATTATGTATTGGTAATATTCCTAGCAATCAGGTGTCTACTAATGATAAGGATTATACATATACTAGGCTCTCAATTCAATTGGTTAATACCATGAAAAACACGACATGAGTTTTCGTCTTTATTTTGTTCTGGACATCTTCAATTCGCTCGTCAATGGTAGCTAATTAATAATTTCCTCCATTGACATGTAATAATTTCCTCCATTGACATGTAATAATTTCCTCCATTGACATGTATTTTGGCTATATTGAGCCAGGGTACTTGTTATGGAGGGGTAATGAATATAAATGTAAAATACAAATATAATATCCAACGCACATGTTATATATCAATATCTCGACAAGGCTCGTAGAGGGGATAATTACCCCCTTTACCCCTCTTTAGATCCGCCACTGTATTGATCGAATCACAAATCACAAGCCATAGGGAAATCGAAACTAGAAATTATTGGCGTTCGCTTGCTTTGACGCCCGGTGCTGCCGAAACAAAATGGGGATTGAGATAATTCTGTATTTTTGATAATTATTTTTTTTATACGCGTCTATGGAGAAAATGCGATTTCGGTTCTCTTATAGGTATATAAGAAATTATAGTCTGAAATTTTGAAAAATAAATCATTGCAGTCATTGTATTTCCTGAAAATACGAGTCAGCCTCTTGATCAAACGAAAGCGGAAATTCTTCAGAACATTGATTATTCCAAAGCAAATATTCAACTGACAAAGATCAAAAATGTCAATAATGACGGGTTACTTATAAGCTGCGAAAGTAAGGACTTCAATCAAATTATATCTTTCAGCACATGCCAAAGAATACAAAGATATGTCACTAAGTTTTCCTTGGTGTTACTGAGACAAGTTTTCCAAATGAGATGTAATTTCTGAACAATTTTGTTTTTTTCAAAAATAACACCCTGATTATCCAAGAACAGCATCATAACTTGTGTCTTGTCAACATTACTTGGTCGTTCAACTCCATGATCCATAATAGATTGAAAGAATAAATAAGTGAAAAAAACGCAATATGATCTATTGTACAACAGAGTCAGCACAGATCTATAATATCAATAGCATCAATAAAAATAAGCATGGGGATACTGCCTTCTACCACCGACTCTCTAGGCGGGAGCCAGTTGGCGCAATCATTCGCGCACACCTCCATTCTGGGTTAAAATCTTTGGAATAGATCCTTCGATCATACAGGGGGTTTGTTGTTAGGAGGATAGATCAGTAGCGACCGAATTCGTACTAATCATTAGAAGGGTTCAAAACTGAGGTGGACTAAGTTTATAATAGCGGTGTATTGAGATAAACCATCCATAATATTTTTTGATGCAAAAAAAATTAAAATGAATAATACATAATTAGGTAATTAGTCAATGTCAAGCAACTTCAAATTTCTTTATCTCAAATTTACAAAATATGGTTCACTTCAGCTTTGAATCTCCCATTTGTGTGTTGCTAGTGCCAGCATATTGTGGGAAAAAATTGTGAATTTTGATTTTTGTGTGCTTCATTATTATACAGGGTGTCCCAAAATTAGCCTGCCAAACTTCACCAGCGGCTTTTACGACCGAAAATAGAAAGAAAACTCTCGCTGAACATGAGTCGAGAAATGTCTCCTAAGGGACCTACGGCCCCCTGAAAGGGGGCTCCTGAAGATGATATTTCTTGAGTATTTCCGAAACTCCATGTGATAAAAAGAATTTGGTACAAGAACTGAATTTTCCATGCCCAATGCAGTGTTAATAAAATTATTTCAAAATTTCAATCAGGAGTGTATAATACAGGGTGGGACTACATTAAATATTGCTCAAAATTTTTTGTATGCATATTTTCCGACAATTTAATCCCGGATTATGAAATTTCACACCTCTTTACAGAAAAAAGGTACTCTTGTTCCGTGACGATCAGTTGTATTATTATGGAGTAAAAGCAATTTCAAAATATTGTTACATCTCAGATATTATGCATAACATTGCAATGAGGCGTAGTGAAAATGGAAAAAATTCACAAAAATTGAAGTAGTTCTTTCATCATCATTTTCTTATTCTTTGCGCTTTAATGATATTGTTTGGCAAATAGAAAGTACTTGATTCCTTTATGATTCGAAAATGGGCAAAGTTATGCATAAGATGTGAATGCATCCATATTTTTAAATCGATTTCACTTGAAAATGATACATCTGATCAATGCTGAACAAGAGCACCTTTTTTTGTGAAACGGTGTGGATTTTCATAATCCGAGATTAATTTTTTTTGCAAATCGATTATATACAGGTTCAATGAAGGGCCTTAAATTAGCCTCAAACTATGGTTTACCCAAAATTCTCATATTCCTTTTATTTCAGATTTGGTTCTACTAGCTTAATGATTAAGCTAACACCCATGGTTAGGCTAGTATTAGAGCCTCTGAATAGCCTCAAATTATGGTATAATTAGTTTCCTAGTAGAACTCTCTTTAATTTACTATTGGTTTGTCATGTGCATGTTGGATTTGGGATTTTGTTGACAGAAAATGATCAACAAAAAAATCGATGATAGGTTCAATGAAGAACCTTGAATTAGCCCCAAATTATGGTGAACTCAATATTCTTATATCCCTTTTATTTGAGATTTGGTTCTGCTAGCTTAACGGTGAAGCTAGCAAAACCCATGATTTACAAAAAAACGATGTGCGAAAAAATCGGCAGTAGGCTAGGATTAGAGCCTTAAATTAGCCTCAACTCATGATATAATTAGTTTCGTGATTGAACTTTCTCTGTGTTGCTATTGGTTTGTCATGTTCATGTTGGATTTTGGAATTTTTTGCAGAAAATGATTAACAAAAGAATCGATAGCAAAAAAAATCGATAATACGTTCAATGAGAAGCTTTGAATTAGCCTCAAATTATGGTGGCCGGAATATTCTTATATTTTTTCTATCTGAGATTTGGTTCTGCTAGGAGTTAAGCTAGCAAAACCCATGATATTTTTTAAAACTATTTGCGAAAAAATCGGCAATAGGCTGGGATTAGAGCCTTGAATTATACTTAAATTATGGTATGATTAATATTGTGATTGAACTTTTTTTGGTTTGCTATTGGTTTGTCATGAGGTTTGTCATGTTCATATTGGATTTGGGGGAATTTTTTGCAGAAAATGATCAATGAAATAATCTATATTAGGTTCAATTTATTAGGCTGAATTTTCTATATTCCTTCTATTTGAGATTTGGTTCTGCTAGCTTAATGGTTAACCTAGCACAACCCATGAATTTTTTCAAAAAAACAATGTGCAAAAAATTTGGGAATAGGCTAGGATTAGAGCCTCAAATTAGCCACAAATTACGGTTCAAGTTTCATGATTGAACTTTTTTTGGTTTGCTATTGGTTTGTCATGTTCATATTAGATTTGGGAAATTTTTTACAGAAAATGGTAAACAAAAAAATCGAAGATAGGTTCATTGAAAAGCCTTAAATTAGCCTTAAATTATGGTGTACTCAATATTCTTATATTCCTCCTATTTGAGATTTGGTTCTGCTAGCTCAATGGTTAAGCTAGCAAAACCCATGTATTTTTTTTTAAAACAATGAGAGAAAAACTTGGCAATAAACTGGTATCAGAGCCGTAAATTAGCCTTAAATTATAGCATAATCAGTTTTGTGATTGGACTTTTATTTACAAAGTCTTTCTGCTAGCTTAAGGTTAAGCTAGTAGAACCCATGTTTTTTTGCATAAATCAAACAGCAATAAATTCAGCAATAGGGTTATAAATTAGCCTAAAATTATGGTTGAAGAAAAATTTTTAAAATTCAAAGTGGTTCTGCTTAGTTTAATGGAGGTGAATTGAAGGAATTTTTGGGAAATCAATAGGCAATGAAGGCTGTGGTCAACCCCTGGAAGAAGACAAGGAAGAACTCTAATCAAATCATACAATCCAGTAATGAACCCAGTTCAGAAAAAAACAGGAAATAGAAAGAGCATCTGAAAATTCCAGTGATGTGTTGAAAAGAATAAAGATAAATTACTCATTTGAAAAACATGTAACATATTTATCAGGAAGATTATCTGCAAAAACTTCTTAGGAACATTAAAAAATAAAAAAGGGAGAAGACACCTTCAGCAATATTCTTCAATGGTTGGAGAATATTGATGAAGGAGAATAAACAAAGAAAATTAAGATAAAGAAATTGTAAAACAGAAGTAAAACATAAATATGGAAATGAATGATAAAATAGAAATGCAAAATCAAAAACATCTTCTTGAAATTAATGATGTACTTCATGAAATTCCTACTGACAAAAAATAAGAGACTGAAACAAAAAAGGTGTATCTGGCAAGAAACACTAGAGTGATACCAAATAATGTGAAAACGAAAAAAATGTTGCCTGTGATTTGTGACCCTAATGGTATCATTTAGGGTGTAAAAAGTTAACAAGGCTTCCTAATCCTGATATCTCCAAATTCGATTTTGTCTGTGATTTTTGTATTAATTCTGATTGTATATCATTATTTCACCATTTTCTTGTAGTAATTCTTGATTTCAATGAAGTTTATATTTTTGTTCATAATTAATGCTGAGTTTTTGGAATACGATCTGCATATTTTCTTATTAATTGAATTTATTTCTATTTTGACTTCATTTTATTTCAAATTATAGCACCTTATGTGCAACTGTTGAAACCCTTCAATTATAAGTAAACCAAAAATGGAATGACTGTTCTATTTGATGAATAATACTCATATATCCTGGTCATAATGAATACATGCATGAATACACATCAATATCATACAAACTCAATTGAATGCTGGTCTGGACAAAATCAACCAATCACAAGTTGTGGGACCTTTAGCAAAAATGTACTTTGTTGTTATTTAATTGCTGAAAAATCATATGATGTTGATATAAATTACTTTCTTATTCAATTATCACTATACTTAAAGACAAATTCATGAAATATTACCTAGAGGAAGTCATAGTAAGTTTCCCCTAAAACTGTACTTCTAAGTCAAGTATTTACCTATGCTTAAACTGGCTAATTCATCCTATCACCATCACCCCAGGGTATAATAAGAGATTGACAAATACCTATATACACTGAGTTCACAATTCCAGCCCAGTGGAAAATGGTATCAATATACAAAAGCCTTGACAAAAACATTAATCCATACAGGAATTCTATGTACTATGTAACTTAAAATGTGGCAGTAGTACTATCAAGTAATAGTAGTAGGAGAATTATTCCTAGTATAGCAGCAGGTTGGTACTTACAGTTATGCACAACCTGTTCAAAACAATTTTTGGGCCCATTGCATAAGTAATTATAGAGTCCAAAATACGCTTCTTCAATAGTTCATAATGGTCCTCAGGTACTTCATTCCAATATTTCATCAACTTTGTGTGCAATGTTGTGGCAGCAAAGAATTGAACTTCAGAACTCTGTGAGAAGACAAATGGAGTAAGGCAAATTGAAGAATTGATGTATGGGGCTATTACCTTATTGGGATCAAGAAGCTCCCAAACAAATCTCCAAGCTTGTGGAGATCTCTGTGCTTCAGTTAACCACTGATGAGCTTCTGCCTGTTGATGTGCTTCAGTTCTATAGAACATAGTGACTGCTTTTTCTAAGTCATCAGTTGTGTAATCCATATTCCACTCAAAAACGTTTTATTGTAAAAATGTCCCTATATTCTGATATCCATACGGAGATTCAAACGTTTTCAGGTATCCTAGAATAATTATTATTTGTCACGTTTTGGAAAAGAAAGTTTGAAAACTTTTGGATCACTGCTACAAATTCACTGTAATATTATATTTTAATACTGCACAAAAACAATAACACATAGAACCATAAACACAAAATACAACTATCAATGTGGAATTGACACTTTTGACAATCTTGACATATTTGAGTTGAAGCAAACTAGCGTCTGCAGAGAGCACGCAAGTAATAAAGCTCGTGGTGGGGGAATATTGCATCGCGTTAGAAGCTACCAAAAGCTAATTGACTTCACTTCCATTGTGAGTTCATTGGGTTCATAACCCTTGATTTATAGATACCAGTGATGCTAATGTGGGCGTAATTACTGGATTTGCACCGATTCGCATCGCCTCGCAGTGAAAATGCGGTAATGACATTTTGTGTGGATTCTGCACGCATTCACTGGTCTTGTAAATAAATAACAATCGCAATTTTATTCATCATATTTTTTATTGTGAGCACGGTGGGCAATATACGTTTCACGAATGAAGCGACAACTCCAAGAGTCCAAGAAAAGAACAGCTCTAACAGGACAGGATATAATAACCCTAACAACACAGGGATGTCCTAGGTACGTCTCTTTTTTGTCCCGCGGTACAAGGACATGATTGGGGCATCCAGGAAATGTCGCGCAGTGGTTGTCCAGTGGACATCCCGCGCGGTACATCCCTAGGTTATCCTATTCGTGTCCCTGGAATATCTGATATCCATTCACATCAGAGTCTTTGAATTTCATCAACGTATCAAGTTGAATTTTATAAAGAATAAAGTTTCAGAACTTCTTGAGAAATAACCATTTTTCGCAAACAGAAATCGTACATGCATAATGCCCCTCATTTTTAAACACCCAAGAATGATATAATAATTATACCCAAATCCTAACAAAGTTGTATTTATTCAGGTTTCTGTAGTTAAGTCCTGTTTATAAATCTGTTTAGTACATAAATCTTCAGGAGGCTCAATTGCCAATGGAGTAAGAGGCGTGCCTGATGAGCCAAAGGTCCCGGGTTCAATCGTTACCACCGATACAACAAGGCCTGCATGCTCCGTGGGTGACGTCGCACTTAGTGAGGCCTAACCAGCGGCTCGAAACGACAAGCGCTTATAGCGCTATAAGGCGACCGCGTATTTCGATTCTAGTTTTAGATCATCATTGAGCCGATTTTTCTGTTTTTTGAAGGGCTTCCGGTTAAATAAGGATGCAAGTCGTCAACTGAGCCCTTCTTCGCACCCCATTCGATTTTATTATGGAAAAACGAAGTTTTAAAGCAAAAACCAGGATAAAACACAAATATCCACCTACAGCAACCCATTCGAATAAAATGAATCGGTGAGAATAAGAATAGTACAAGTCCAAATGTTACAGTTTTGGGAAAACAAGAAAAACTCTGTGTAAAGTTGTTCACGCTCAACGCTTCACGATGAGCGCCATCATACGCCTTGATATAGGGATATTAATACTGTTTCTCGACTCATTCGATGCAGCTTCGTATTACAGACAAAATGGCTATTCCAGTTCGAAATGTCAAATTTTGGACTTGTACTGTTCTTATTCTCACCGATTCAAATATATTGGCAAAAATTGTGGTGAAGGTAAACTTCACACCTACTAATACAGGGCCCGCAGAACATAAACTTATCGTGAGATTGATCGAAAGAAAATTGTGGAAAATGTATTTTATTTGATTGACATGCCGTTTGTTACAATTACCTATATTTATCTTGGAAAATTCCTATTACCTGAAAAAATAACCAGTGAGTGTTTTCAATTTTCTGTTGTTAGATTTTCCACCCAAATGGATCGTTACACTTGAAACCGTAATTTTCAAGGGTAAAACTGCATTTATCATGCGATGGTTTTTTTTTTTGAAAATTTTTTTTGGTACTCACGTATTTTTGTCTGATAACCCGAGTTTCATAATGAAAATGTGAACAAACCACTATTTATTGAGATATTTCAAGAAAAAGTTCGAAATTTCGCCTTCTTTCTCCCCTTGTGTTGGGGGCATTTGAAGCTACTTGCTCTTATTTTGTCATTGGTCATTGGACACTTTATATACTCGATGGCACATTTTTATATAGAAAATTATCAACAGGAAATATGATTTTTATGGCGAGTTTTTCATATTTAGTGAACAAGCATTCCAGATGACTACCATTTAATCAATAGTCAATCAAAATACGAAATGTCAAATGTCAATAGATTGCTTTCGAATGACATTATTTTGAATGATATTCTTCCTTCTTTTCACTAAATATGGATTGATCTCAAGAAAATCAGATTTATAGTTGAATTATATATAAATTGTCCAATATATGATGAAAAAAGAAGGGAAATTTGGTCTAACAGCCATCCAGAAGACAGGTGAAAAAGAAGGTGAAATCTGGAACTTTTTAGTCAAATATCTTCATGATAAATATCATGATAAATGCAGTTTTACCTTTTTAAGTAGAGTGTTTGTAGTTCATGTTAATATGATAGGTGCAATTTGATCATTGGAATGAATTCTGCATTCATTGCCACGAGGCAAATGACCGTTTTCAGAAAGAAATTTGAGCATGAGAATTAAAAATGCCCGTTTATTATGAACATTCAAGAAAATTTCCTCGAATTCAGAGATGATTTTGTTGACTATAATATACGAATACAAAACTAACTGCACAATCAAAGCTTTTCTATTTTTCCTCTACTTATACTTTTTATGAGAGAGTAATTGTCTTCTATTATTAATTAATCATTATAAATTAAGCTCTGTTTACTACTGAACTTAGATGGAGTAAAATCCTCGCGGTGAATTGCATATACCATAGATTAACGACTCCCCTAGATATACACCGTGAATGGGGATTTGGTCAACACTGAAATTAGTGAAACAGAACATACACAGATGTCTCCAGTATCCTTGGTGCGAATAATTCATCCGAGGTCCAGACAGTCCGTGGTCTATTTATAGCGCATAGCACCGTGCACGCTGGAAACCGGTTATACGTTACAGCGTTGCCAGAATAATGTGGCATTTACTCCTATTACCATTCTTGGATAAAAAATCAGATCAGAATAAAAATAATTATTCTGCATCTTCTCTATAAAAATGAATGTTTGTCTGTCTGTCTGTATATGTCCTCGATAAAATCGTGAACGGCTCGACTGATTTGGAATTTTTTTTTGTTTATCTCGTTATAGTTCAGGGATGGTTTAGGTAGAAAAACAATTGAAAAAATTAAATATGGCGGAACCAATATGGCAGACGAGTTTTGTAATTATGGACCGATTCTATTCAAAATTGACATCTGGGGGTTTTCGGGGTTGGAGATTATGATTCTTTCGTCAAAATTAGAAAATTCAAAATGGCGGATTCAATATGGTGGACGAGTTCTGTAATTATGGACCGATTCTATTAAAAATTGGTATCTGGGGGTTTTTGGGGTCGGAGATTATGATTCCGTCGTTAAAATTAGGAAATTCAAAATGACGGATCCATTATGGCAGACGCGTTTTTCAATTATGAGTAGATTCTATTGAAAATTGGTATCTGGGGGTTTTCGGGGTCGGAGATTATGATTCTTTCGTCAAAATTTGGAAATTCAAGATGACGAATCTAATATGGCGGACAAGTTTTGTAATTATGGACCCATTCTATTCAAAATTGGTATATAAGGGTTTTTGGGGTCGAAGATAATGATTTCGTTGCCGAAATAAGAAAATTCAAAATGGCGCATGGGTTTTGTGATTATGTTCCCATGTTTGTCTATATGTCCGTTATAAAATCGTTAACGGCACGACCGATTTTGATGATTTGATGACTCAAAATAAATTGAATATTTGTGTAATGTCTTTTCATTAAATTTATTTTAGTTGATAGCGTAGCAACGCGCGCAGGGTCCCTAATAACACACCTTCATCCATTGGACATCCAATGGATATCCTCACCCGGACACCCTGGACATCCATAGGATAACCACTTTGTGTACACTGGACATCCTATGGATGTCCATAGGATATCAGCTTTCCACATTTTAGGACATACATACGTTATCCATGATGGACATCCATTTGGTGTCCATTAAGCCTAGTATAAACGAGTTCAATATAGTCACCTTTTCGTCGATGACATCAGATGCATATATGCGAGTCCAGAGTACTGCATTGGCGTCATTTTCGAAAGTTTTTCTGTCAAATTTAGAGAAATCTCTGTATGTGTGGGTATTTTGGTGATTAGTTGAAGTGACGACATCAATTATACACCCAGTAAGTAAATGATCGGAAATGTTGATATCTGTAACTGTGCATTTACAATAAGATAATGAGTTGTTGAGAAAGATGAAATCTAATAGGGCATCTTTTCGCGTTGGTTGCTGAACTATTTGTTTGAGTCCAATACTGTCTAGAAGTGAATAAAATATATACTCGTTGTAGCATTCATGTTCAAGAGATTTATGTTGAAGTCGCCAGCACAAATGATGTTCTCATGGTTCAGGGATAATGAAGCTATATTGTTTTCGAAACAATCCAAAAAATTCATCACCTCTGCATTAGGGGGGCGATAAATGGTTCCTAGGCAGAAATTATTTTTACCGTAATCAACATTGAGCCATATTTGTTCATAAGATCCGTTTTCGTGAGTATCTTCAATTATACTTTCACTCTGAAAGAGTCCCTCACATAAATACAAACTCCTCTGCCCCTGGTATTCCTGTCATTGCGGAAACATCTGAAAGCTGTAATATTAATCATATTATCTATTGTATCTTCAGTTAACCATGTTTCAGAAACTCCAAATATATCGTATTTTTTTGTTGATATCAAATCTCTTATTTCGTTAATTTTTGGCGATAGTGAACGAATATTTATATGACCAATGCTCAGTTTTGACATCTCTAACTTTTT